GGTTTTGATAGTGCTTTTGTAAAAATGTCTGCTACCATTTCTTTGGTGTTGCAGTACATAATTTCAAATTCTTTTCGCTCTACTTTTTCTTGTACAAAGTGATACCGAATGTCAATGTGCTTGCTTCTGCCATGCAGTTCTGGGTTGTAGGAAAGTTTAATACAACTTTGATTGTCCTCAAATAGGGTGATAGCATGTGAGCTTTCGTGTTTAAGCTCTACTAAAAGAAGCTTTAAGAAAATAACTTCTTGCATGCAGTGACATAGGGCTATGTATTCTGCCTCTGTTGTGGACAGAACTACGGTGTGGTGCTTTCTCGATTGCCATGAAATTGGGCTTCCACACATATATGCGATATAGCCTCCCACAGATCGTCGTGTCTCTGGGCAATTGGCGTAGTCTGCGTCGGAGTATGCAGTGAGATAATGCTTTGACTTATACTGCTCTAGATTTTGCTTTCCACCAGGGGTGATGCCAAGATTGCGCGTACCGTTTAAGTACTTCAATCCTCTCTTAACGGCATTCCAGTGAGGTTTTCCTGGGTTCACCAGGAATTGACTGACTTCTCGTAGAAAATATGCGAGATCAGGTCTAGTTCCCATCATTAAGTACATGAAGCTACCAACTGCCTCTCTGTACGGGATCGCTTTCATCTCATGTTTTTCTTCTGGCGTTTGGGGGCACATGGCCTCCGTCAGCTTCACACTGGGATCAGCGGGTGTACCAACCGGGTGTGCATCAAGATGAGAGAAGCGATCCAGGACTTTGGTAGCGTACTTCTCTTGGTGGATGAAAATGGTTCGGTCCGTACGGCTGCGCACGATTGACCAGCCTAAGATGTATTGAGCTTCACCGAGATCAGACATTTTGAAGCGCTGCTTGAGAGCGTTCTTTATGTTGTTAATGATATCAAGCGTAGGGGCTATGATGAGGAGGTCGTCCACATAGACTAGAATGTAGCATGTAGCTCCATCCACAACTCCAATGAAAACGCATTGGTCTTTGATGAGTTTGTGGAATTTCATGGTGAGAAGAAAAGAGCACAGGGTAAGATACCAGATCCGAGGTGCCTGCTTAAGACCATATAGGCTCTTCAAAAGCTTGCAGGCTAAGTGCTCTTTTCCACGAACAGTAAACCCTTCATATTGCAGCATGTAAATTTCCTCATCGAGGTATCCGTTCAGGAAAGCGGTTTTAACATCGATTTGATGGATCTCAAGGTCAAGGAGTGCTGCAATCGTCAGTAAAAGTCGCAGCACTTCCATGCGGATCACTGAAGAGAATATCTCATCGTAGTCAACGCCATACTTTTGCAAAAAACCTTTTATTACCAGGCGAGCTTTATAGCGGTCAATACTGCCGTCTCCATTGTATTTTACAACGAATACCCATCGACACTGTAGGGCCCTTCTCCCTGTCGGTAGTTTTGTGAGGACCCACGTTTTGTTGTCAATCAATGATTTGTATTCACAAATGGCTGCCTTCTCCCAGTGTTGTGCTTCTGGTAGTTTCTGGGATTCTAGGAACGTCTTTGGGTTCAGATATGTGTCTGATAGCCAATAGAGCGTAGATATGAGTGAGGTGCTCTTTTCGTTCGTTAATGTCGAGTGGATCATCAAGTAGACACGAGTGTTCATCCTCGTTCTGAGCGTTCGTTTTGTGTTTGACTTTCTTCATCTTTACTACTACTTCCGCGGCAAGCGCATTGACGCTGCGTTTTAGTAGTGAGGCTATTGGAGGTAGCAATTGTGGTGTTGGTAGCGACGGTGATAGCGTCGGTGCGGGGCCATTTTGGTCCGAGATTGCGGGTGTATTGAGGAATTCCAAGTGTGGGAACTCGTCTTCTCTAAACACAACATCCCTGCTGTAGATAACACGGTTTTCTTTCGTGTCAAGGAGTCTATATCCCTTTTTGTTTGATGGGAGTCCTAAGTACATGCACTTCTTAGCACGTGGTTCTAGTTTTGTGCGGTGTATCTCAGGGATGTGAGCGTACGCAGTACACCCAAACACTTTGATGTAGTGCGCGAATGGTTTTCGCTTGAACCATTTCTCGTATGGGGTGACCTTATCGGTTACCGAGCTGGGAGTAATGTTCAGAAGGTCAGCAACGTGTTTGACGCATTTTCCCCAAAGAACCTGCGGTAGGTTACCATCAATGAGGAAAGCCCAGGTTCGTTCGAGTAGTGTACGCATGCGCCTCTCTGCAACTCCATTTTGCTGGGGCGTGTACGCACTTGTAAATTGTGCGTGCGTATTGTACTTCTGAAAAATCATTTTTCCAAGTTTCTCATATTCTCGGGCATTGTCGCTTTGAAGATGTCTAACTTCTTCATCGTGTATGTTCTCATTGAACTGGAGTTCGCCTACATCAGCGCGAAAAACGTTTTGTGCTTTCTTGCGAAAATCTTCATAGCATTCATACAGCTCAGACTTTCGCTTGATGATGTAGATGAACATGTACCGTGAGTAGTCATCTATAAAGGTCAGAAAATATTGACACCCCGAGAGTGTGGGGACGGGTAATGGACCAGCCATATCAGAATGAACTTTTTCAAGAGGGAACTTTGCCCGTTCAACGGTACGTTTATTGAATGGGTTACGATGGGCCTTGGCGTATGTGCAGGAAGAGCAAAAGTAGTCTTTCTTGGAATCAAAGTCCTTCAGGCTCATGTCCATGACAGTGTTGGCTTTAGCCAGATCCTGCATAATGCGAAAGTTAGGATGACCCATTCGTTTATGCCAAAGTAAAACATTATCAGGCTTACCTGAAGTGGCCACATGGGCTACCTGACTTGAGGTTGCCGGGCTCGCTTGAAACTGGTAGAGTCGAGTCCCTTCACCAATTTTGGCTTCAAATTTGGTTCGGCTAGCGAAGAACAGAACGCACTTCTTTGCGTTGGGGAAGTTGATTTTGAAATCATCTTCGACGGCTTGGCGCACGGAGAGTAGGTTGAACCTCCAGCTGGGGCGCATATAGCACGTTGGCCAAGGATATTTCTCGTTCCTTTCCCTTCGTGTCCTTGATTGTCATCTTGACATCACCAGTTCCTTTTATCGGAATCTGGTGATTGCCGCCGACAGTGATTGACTTGCCAGCACTTGGGATCAGCTTCTCAAACCACTTCGGATTGGACGTAACGTGGCGAGTGCAGCCTGAGTCGACAGTCCACACTGGGTCATGCTCCGCATCTTGGGCGGTGAGACTTACAGCCTCTGTTTCTTGTCTGAGGTCCAGAGTGGTGATGGCTATGATTCCATACTCGTTGTCGGAGTCGGTGTCCTTGCGGCGACCGTGGAATTTATTGTGACTCTTGGATTTTTCAGATGTATTCTTCTGGTTGCCGTTCTGGCTTCTGTTTCGATTGCTGTTCCGCTTGCTCTTGTAGTCATTCCGATTTTGGCTTCGTGACTTGCCGCCGAAACCGTCCTTGTAAGGATGCTGTCGAGCTTGATTGGACGAAGGTTTCAGCTTTAAGTTTGGCGGGAAGCACCGTTCCTGCCTTTACCTGACCATTTTGTAGGTGGCGCTGTAGAACATAGCAGTCGACAGTATCGTGGTTGGTGCGCAGGCAGTATGTACAGCTCATCGTTGAGATGAGAGCCTTGCTCTCTTGATAGGGAGCTTGAACCAAGGTTGGTTCAGGTGCTAAAGCCTGTAGGGCCTGCTCGTTTCGGGTTTCCCTCGATTCGGGTGTTCCTTGTTTGAGCGTGTAGCGGTTTTTCGCCAGTTCATGCTGCACCTTGGCCTCGATGTGACGCTTTAGCTCTTCGTAGGGAATGAATTTCCTGCTACCCTTCCAGACCGATAGTTGCTGCTTCCATTTTCCAGGTAGCGCATGGTACAAGTAGAGTGACTTCTGTTCGTCACTGAGCACACTGTTTGTGGCTTCGGAGGCAACCTTCATGGCAGATTCGATGTCAATTATGAACCCCGTAAGGTCTGAACCTTCTTCATACCTCAGTGCCATCAGGTATGATAGCACATGATACGGGTCGCCGTGGATGGCAGCACCTTTGGACTTGCTACAGATCGTCTGGAAGATCTCAAACGCAGTAGTCTTGTCCTTGACCATGAGAACATGTTGGTCATCGACGGTCTTGATAAGGAAAGCTTTTGCTTTTGCCTCGTTGAGTCGAAGCTTTTTCGAGCTCAGCCTCTGGCTTTTAGCCTTCAGCTTCTCTGCTCGCTTCAGTTCATCCCGCTTCTGAGCAGTGAATGACTGGATAACGGGGGGATTCTCCTGCCCCATTTCCACATCGCCGTCGTCTCCGGCTGTGGGTGCATCCGAACTTGCGGAGCTGGCATCAGAGGAGGACTCGCTCGGTGAGGAGCCCACCATTTCGTCGGCCTTGGGAGCACCGGCAGCATCAAGCGCGGCGGACATGTCGCTCATGTCGGACAGTGCCGGGTTGAGTTCTTCATCGGAGTCGAACTCGTAGTGGGAGTCACCGGTGTAGTCGATAGTAGCCGAGAAGGTTCTTTCCTTCGAGGGCGGCAGTGACGCGGGTCTTCCAGATGATGAAGTTCCGGCCATTGAGGCGCGGAAACTCGCGGTCGTAAGCGGTGGAGGCTTGCGTTGGGCTCATAACCTATTGAAGGTGAGGCGAGGAAGGTGGAGGAGCTTGAGTAGAAGGAAGAAAAGAGAGATGTGATTGAATTTTATGAGTCTGTCTTCAGAGAGTTTCCTGGCACCATTGATTTATATTTCCTGTAAAAGGTGATGTATCGACTTATGCAGGATTGGGTCCAGAACATATTTTGTATGGTAAGACATTTTGTACAATAACTTGTACGCTATGTCACCAATTAGGACACATCATTGACAAAGTCATCTTCGAGAACGAGCCAAAAGGATGATGTTGCGGTGGTACTTACAGTAATCCTCATCGATATTCCTTATCCTCTGGCTTCTGACCATTGGCCTGTGGCCAACCGATGCAGCTCCTCACTTCCGATTTTCCTACCTGCAGCCCAAGTTGCTCGTCCACTTTCCGCCATGAAGTTCGCCGTCATCGCCTCTGCTGCCGCGCTCGTCGCTGCCACCAACGCCGCTACATGTGACGTGACCGCACTCCAGACGATCATCACCTCGCCTGATGCTGCCACTTGCATGACCGACTCTGGTTTCTCGGGAACGACGCTGGTCACGCCCACGGACGCCGAGCTGGCCAAAATGTGTACCAGCACGGCCTGCCAGTCGCTGCTCTCGGACGCCCGAGCGGCCGCCCCCACGGAGTGTACGGTGGGCACCTTCGCCTTGTACGCCGACCTGATCACCCCGCTCAACAGAGTCTGTTCTGGCGGCTCGTCCTCCGGGTCGTCGACTTCGGCCACCGTGGGCTCTACCGAAGGTTCATCGGCCACCATCACGGCCAACTCCACGATTTCGGACTCCTCAGCTTCAGCCTCCTCATCGGGCAGCAGCAGCAGCGCCAGCACGGCTGTCGTCTCGGTCGGTGCCGTCCTAGTCGCTATGGCCGCCACGTTCTTTTAAGACATTGGTCGGCAGCTAACAAATAGAGCTTGAGAAATACAACAACCAGACCATTTTCTAGAAAGACGAATTGTACTTTCGGTGATCGGCGGTACACTTGCGAAGAGACAGTGTTCACATCGGACATGTCCTCAGAAGTCGTCAGAGCAAAGGTGTTCGACCGTCAAGTCCCAGGTTGCAAAGACAGCCAGAATTCCGATTCATTCTAGAGGTGACGAGCGAGTCACCAAGACTTGGTCGTGTCCTTGCAAGACGACAATCCGAGCAATAACTACGCCAGCTTCAAGCGTTAGGTATCTCGAGTCAGTGACTCAACACCAAGCACGCTGCGTTTCCACGCGTCCGTTGCTCTTGTCGTTTATAACCTTCCTTTATGGTGAGACCTCGACGACGAACACGTGCTGTTATCAGACTTGGGATTGCTAGAATGGCGGTAGACTGCTAGACAACGTTGCTGCTCTGGCGTCCGACCACAAGTATGCTGAGTGACTGAGCAATTTGATTTTAGAGTACCAACCTCGTCGCTCGAGCTGCTGTGGCTTGCGAGGCGACCCAAACTGGTCAGCAAGACCCCGTAGCGGAGAAATCATCTGACTACAACACGTTGGGGCCAAAGTGGCCGTCAAGGTTCGTGAAGCCTCACTTATCGATTAAACTCCACGCGACTACGGCAGCAGAAGCATGAACCTCGCGACGCCCATTACGAGCAACCAGATCTCGTCTTCGCCTTGTGCAATGACCAGCGAGACCAAGGCACGCTGTACCCAAGAGTTAAGGTCTCCTCCAAACTTCGCATCTCGCATGTTCCGACTAGTCTTCAAGCCAAAACAGCGCTCTGCTAATCAGCGAGCCAAGTCATGGCCGGGATGTGCCGAATTCGCAGCTGTCAGAGGCCAGTCCAGCACTAGCATCGAGATTCCAAGCTCAGTTCCACCTTGGGTACCTAGGGCGCATATTAAACTCCAGCAAGATTGCAAACAGACCGCAGACGACAGCAACAGTGAAGCTTCGTGGCGGGAGCGCCAGGTTCGCTGTACGAACTGCGAGCGGCTGTTCTTTAAGTCAATGGCGATGCCGAGTAGCACTGCGGACAGATTCTGCTCGCTGGATTGCAAGGCCAATTACGAGTATTTATCTCAGCTCCAAGACACGATAGATGTTGGCATGCTAGGGCGTGGCGGGACCAGCTGCGCATACAGCGACTACAGTAGCGACATCGATGGAGCGCTATGGTTTTGACGACTCATAAATTAAGAGCGCTATGTTGAAGTCGATCATTAAGCGCTCCCTGATTGGTCGAAATGGATCGTGACTGTTTTGGAGCACGTGGTGAACTGTTCTCGTGTATTTGTGAGAATGACAGCTCCTTGCACTGCGTCCTGCATATGACAGAGCCCCAGAAGCTCCTGAATATATCGGCAGAGACCGAGGACCTCGGTCCACTACTAAGGTTAAAGCAAAAAAGAGTTAAGAGCACTTTTGCAAGAAATGGGTGCTGAATTATAAAAACTTACAGTTTGAATGGTCTTTTTTATTTTACGAGAAAATGATTCGTATTGTTTCGAGGATCTTCTGTTGCAACTCCGAAACCTTTTATCGAGTTGAAAAACGTAATTTAGTTATGAATACCGGTTTCTATTTTATTTAATCTGCCTATTTTTAGCAGCTCAATCGAAAATAGCTACTTTGTGAAAAACAAGTCTACCACCAATTTGAAAACCAAGCATTTGAGGTTTATCAGAATAAAACCTCGCTGGAATGAGCAAGTCGAACACAGTAATTTTACCCTACCGGTATTTGTTTTCATTCGCGCGGCAACTCCTCACGCGCGGCAACTCCTTCACGCCCTCACTCCCTGCAACTCGTTCACGCGCAGCGACTCCTTCACGCGCGGCAACTCCTTCACGCTCTCACGCGCGGCAACTCCTTCACGCCCTCACGCGCGGCAACTCGTTCACGCCCTGCGACTCGTTCACGCGGGGTTACGGGTTACAAGGTACTTCCTCCGGGACGAAATAAGTGCAACATTGTATTATCCACACCTTTAAGTGCCGCAGCAGCTTGCCTTCTTTAGCGCGTCGCGAATGACCGAACGAGACACACCCACCTCTTTTGCTAAACTGTCTTGGGTCATGCAGCGTCTGAAAGGGACGTCGGCTATCTGCTCCAGCAGTGCGGAGCGGACCAAACACGGCTGATTGTGCTCTTGTCGACGCCAAAATGGTCAGATGCACGGGTCAAGCAACCCCAGTCAGGTTCACCCCCGCACGCTGTGCATGAGGATGAAGAGGACGACATCCTGGCGTTCTCGGTTCGTTAGGTTTGGCCTCGAAGTGGCCCCAGCTGAGTCGGCTGCGTTGGTCATGCGGCTTGGAAATGGGGAGTGTCTGGTGTTAAAGATGCTGAAAATGTGGAATGGCAAGCTGCCTGCGGTACATTTCCGTCGATAACTCTGGCGTCTGAGCAGCGTTTTTCGCGCGCAAACCAGCAAAGAGGAGATCACACCGCGACGATTCCGCCAATCAGCGCTTCTAAAGCGAGTCTGTAGGAAAAACCACGTTCTTGACTAGGAGACTGTTGCAATTATTACCAACGAGAGGAAGTAATTATCTGGGTTTTGTGGCAAATTAGTGGTGTTTCAGAGCTGAAAGCCCCCTCATTTTTCGACAAAAATGAGGCCAAAAAAATCCTAATTAATGACAACTTTGAAACCCCCTATTCTACAAGTAGAAACTTGTCCAAGACAAAGGAAAATGATTAAAAAAGCTTCTAAATTAGAATCTGATATCCTGCAGGAAATGATTTTGAAGTGTGCCGGTGGTGGATCTGCCAGAACGCAAGCTTGAAGTCAGGCATGTCTAGGTCAGTGTTTGTTTGACCTGGTCAGGCCATTCAAGCAAGCACTTAAGCGCCTCGAGCGGCTCTATGCCTCCAGTTCAGTGGTCTCCCTTCGCCACCTCAAGCCAGCACCTGGCCATTTTTCAAGCGACCAGTTTCCACCCAGATCGCCTCGTTTTCCTTGGCCATGCACAAGTCCGCCCACGACTTCGCCGAGGCCAAGCGCCAGAAAGACATCATTTCCTGGGACGCCTACACTAAAGGTCTCAAGGCCGGCGCATGGGCCAGTCTGGTCATGGGTGCGGCCGTCTACGGCGCCAATGCGTACCATCACGGTTTCCGCACGCGTATCGGCGTCAGTGGTAAATGGGCCCTTGTAGTGTCGGCCTACCTGGCCGGATTCGCCGTTGTGGCCGAGAATCGTCTCCTGGCTGGGGCCAGAAACCCCGACAAGTACATGGAGACACTCGACCCCAACTACGTCGAGGTCCGCATGGTGAAGACGCAACTGCCGCTGCACAAACGAGCGGCCAACTTCGTGTACGATCATCCGTATCGTAGCTTGGTGACGGCCGGCGTGCCTCTTGTGGGCGGTATCTTTGCCTACCAGACCACGAATGCCGGCATCGCTCGTTCGCAGCAGATCATGCACACTCGAATCTACGGCCAGGCCGCCGTGGTAGCCCTGCTGCTGGGCTCCATGGCCTTTCACGATTTCATGGCCAAACGTGGCCGCTTCGAGGAGGACGAAGAGTCCAAGATCGAGGAGCTGAAAGCGTAGAACACTGGAAAACACTCTTTCTATCTAGCACATAAGAGGGCAGTTAACTTGTTACGAGCCACACAGCAGAAACTATTGCGAACGACAGGAACTTCACGGAGGCTGGCAGATAACTCGTCGCTACGGATAAGACAGATCGAGTAAAAGAATACATGCACCATGCGGCGCAACCACGTGTAGTCGTATAGTTAAGAAAAAAAAAAGCTTGCGAGTCGTCGAAATCAGCAGTGGCCATTCGACAGTAGCTGGCCAAGTTGGCGGTACATGTACTCTGCTATCTCTTTCCATGTATTTGGTACAGCTTGATGATGGCTACCCAACAGCAAGCTACCAGGAAGAAGACTGCTACTGTAAGATGCTGTAGCGACGAGTGTTCTCAGGGTTTGACGCTTGGTGGGACGGCGCTTACAAGATTACAAGAATGACAGAAACAGTATGCTGAACAATCAAACCATCACGTAGGCTGGTCCGCTCGGCCTGGCTTCGCACGGCCACCAGCACCGAAAGTTCAATTTCACATGCTCCAGTCTTGTCGCTCGTGCATCGGCCGTCCTCTCGTTGCACGGCGTGCCTGACCTCACTTGGTCACCATCTCGATCGATCTTTACAGTGCGCTCCTAAGATGGAAAGGCTGGTTTGTATCGAGGACGCCCGCGCTCACTTTTGCTTTAGCGTACCGCACGATGGCGTCCTCGCCCGCGGGGCCGTATTCCAACCTGCCGGAAGTATCTCCGCCCATACTCGAACGCTCGATCCTCGAGAGCGGATACACGCGCGAGAGCGGTCGGACCATCCCCAATGGCACGTCGGACTATTCTAGCAACGCGGCCAGCAACAGTCTCCACTGCCGAAACGTGACGGCCAAGTACGAGGAGTACATCAATCCATGCGTGTTGAGTTGGAGCGATCTGAGCTACGCCGTGCCGAGCAAAAAGACGACCAAGAACCCGTACGGCAAGAAGATCATCCTGGACAAAGTCAGCGGACGCAGCGCACCCGGAGACCTCACGGCCATCATGGGCCCGTCCGGTTCGGGTAAAACCACACTGGTCGACCTGCTGGCCGACCGTATCAGCTCCGGCCTCGTGACCGGCAACATCGAATTGAACGGCACGGACCGCGTGACTAAGACGTTTCGGGCCGTGACGAGCTACGTGGCCCAAGAAGATACGCTGCTGGGCTCGTTCACAGTAGTGGAGACCATGAAGATGGCGGCCCGACTCAGTCTGCCCAACAGTGTGGTAATGACGGACATCCACTCGCGCGTTGAGAGTGTCATGGACGCGATGGGACTCGGTGCCTGCAGGAACACCCTGGTCGGCGACATCTTCCGGAAAGGTCTGTCCGGTGGCCAGAAGCGGAGACTTAGTATCGGTATTGAGCTGCTGTCGAACCCGAGCATCCTCATTCTGGACGAACCCACCAGTGGCCTGGACTCCAGCTCGGCACATAACGTCATGAAGTACATTTTGAAACTCTGTGGCGAAGGCAAGAACGTATTGTGCACGATCCACCAGCCGTCGTCGCTGGTGTACGACATGTTCACGAACGTCATCGTGCTGTCTTTAGGGCAGATAGTGTACTGTGGATCTCGCGCCAACATGATCCCACACTTCGGTTCCATTGGGTTCAACTGTCCCAAATACATGAACCCGGCCGAGTACTTCGTGAACCTGGTTAACACGGACTTTGAGGACCACGTGGACGTCACGAAACTCGTCCACGCGTACGCCCAGAGCAATGTAAAGAAGCAGCTTCTAGACCAACTCTCGGCCGACCGGGCCACTCTACAGAACTTGCCTGATATCGAGCTGAGACCGTCGTCCGCGATGCGTCAGTTCAGCGTTCTCATGTACCGCAACACGCTCAACAACATCCGCAACCCCGGAATCTACTGGATTCGGTTGTTCATGTACTTCTGCTTGAGCTTCATGGTCGGCACCATGTACTTGAGCACGAACGACGACTTGACCGAGGAGGATCTGGTGCCACTGCTGTTCTACGTCCAGGCGTTCCTGGTGTTTATGTCTGTGGCTGTCCTACCGTTCTTCATCGAACAGCGTGCGGTGTTCGCTCGTGAACGTGCCAACAGTTCGTTGAGTGTGGTGAGCTACGTGTGCGCCAACTTCTTGGCTACACTACCGGGTATCTTCCTAATCGCGGCGATGTCGACGGCTTTGGTGGTCCTTCTGGCGGGTCTGAACGCGTTCGAGTATTTCCTATTGAACCTGTTCCTGTCACTGGTAGTGGCCGAGTCGATGATGCACGTGATCGGGGCTGCCGTCCCGCACTATATTATCGGCATCGCGTTGGGTGCCGGCGTGTTCGGTATGTTCATGCTGTGCGAGGGTTTCATGGTTCCTCGTGACTCGATCCCGGACTACTGGATCTGGGGCTACTACCTGGCGTTCCACTCGTACTCGTTCGAGTCGTTCGTGTTCAAGCAGTTCGAGAACGAGACGTCGGACGCGGCTAAGGGAATTCTGACGAAGTACGGCATGGAGGATGTGGATGTCATGAAGGACATGCTGTATCTGGTAGCATATGTAGCTGTTTTCCAGATCCTTTTCATGTTTATCTTGTGGAAATTCCACACAGGTCGTCGCTGAGTAGTGTGAAGCTGATGTAACGTATGAATAATTGAACGCTGTAACCAAATAGTTACGAGAATTGTGACCATGAACATGTCCCCCCAAATTGACCTAAACTGTATGCGCAAAAAGGTTCGCCATGTAAAGGTTCGTCAGCTTCGATCTCATGTCGTTCACGTGATGCATGTGCCTGACCGTTGTCCTTTCAAGATTTTTGCGGCGGAACGGCGGTCAACATCTTTGCAATAGGCTCTTCTCCCACCTGTGTCCGACTCGCACGCCACGCTGTGACCTGAAAGCGGAGTCCGCAGTAGTTCCTGCTGCAGGGTGAGACGGTAAAACTTATCCGAAAACTGTGTGCACTGCAGACCTCGATCCCTGAATAGCCCAAGCTTACACCCGATCCCAGTTCATTCGGAATTTCGCCTTCGTGCCGTCATGGCGTCACTGTCTCCACGGGGGTATGCCATTCTCGAAAGTGACCACAGTCAGGAGAGTGGCCACACCGGGGTCACCATGGTTACTCCAGGAGTGACTCCCGATAAACCCCGGAACCTGGACCGGGAGATCGAGATCAAGTACGAGCGTATCAGGAACCCATGCGTATTGAGCTGGAGCGACCTGAGCTACACTGTCAAGGGCAAGAAAACTCCGGAGTTACCATGGGGCACAAAGACTATCCTGGACCGTGTTAGCGGCCGCTGCGCTCCCGGCGAGCTCACGGCCATCATGGGCCCGTCCGGTTCGGGCAAAACTACGCTTGTAGACATGTTGGCCGACCGCATCAGCTCCGGCGAAGTGTCCGGCGCGATCGAAGTCAACGGCGTAGAGCGAGACTCTAAGACGTTCCGGGCCGTGACCAGCTACGTGGCCCAAGAGGACTCGTTGCTGGGCTCATTTACAGTAACCGAGACCATGCGGATGGCGGCCAAACTCAGTCTACCTAACACCGTCACGTCTCATGAGATTGAGATCCGAGTGGAGAATGTCATGGACGCCATGGGGCTGGGCACGGCCAGTGATACCCTGGTCGGCGACATCTTTCGCAAGGGCTTATCGGGTGGCCAGAAGCGTCGCCTGAGTATCGCCATTGAGCTACTATCCAACCCGAGTATTCTCATCCTGGACGAGCCGACCAGCGGTCTGGATTCCAGTGCCGCTCACAATGTCATGAAGTTCATCGTCAAGCTTTGCGGAGAAGGGAAGACTGTGGTCTGTACGATTCACCAACCGTCGTCGCTGGTGTACGAGATGTTCTCCAACGTGATCGTCCTGTCGGCCGGCCAGACGGTGTACTGTGGCCCGCGGGCCAAGATGATCCCACACTTCGCCGCCGCAGGCCACAGCTGTCCCACCTACATGAACCCGGCCGAGTACTTTATCAGTCTGGTCAACACAGATTTCGAGGACCATGTCGAAGTACTTACGCTTACTCAAAGAGTGAGACGAACAAGCAGATCCAGGAGAGGATCATTCGAGACAGAAGTACACTCAAACACCTACCGGACATTAGAAAACGGCCGCCGTCGGCTCTGCGCCAGTTCAGCGTTCTCATGTACCGCAACACGCTCAACAACATCCGCAACCCCGGAATCTACTGGATTCGGTTGTTCATGTACTTCTGCTTGAGCTTCATGGTCGGCACCATGTACTTGAGTACGAACGACGACTTAACCGAAGAGGATCTGGTGCCACTGCTGGTTCTACGTCCAGGCGTTCCTGGTGTTCATGTCTGTGGCCGTCCTACCGTTCTTCATCGAGCAACGTGCAGTATTCGCTCGTGAACGTGCCAACAGTTCGTTGAGTGTGGTGAGCTACGTGTGCGCCAACTTCTTGGCTACACTTCCGGGCATCTTCCTGATTGCAGCGATGTCGACGGCTTTGGTGGTTCTTCTGGCCGATCTGAACGCCATCGAGTATTTCTTGCTGAACCTGTTCCTGTCATTGGTAGTGTCCGAGTCGATGATGCACGTGATCGGAGCTGCCGTCCCGCACTATATTATCGGTATCGCGTTGGGTGCCGGCGTGTTCGGTATGTTCATGTTGTGTGAGGGTTTCATGGTTCCTCGTGACTCGATCCCGGACTACTGGATCTGGGGCTACTACCTGGCGTTCCACTCGTACTCGTTCGAGTCGTTCGTGTTCAAGCAGTTCGAGAACGAGACGTCAGACGCGGCCAAGGCTATCTTGGTGAAATACGGCATGGAGGACGTGGACGTCTCCCGAGATATGATGCTTTTGATCGTGTATATCGTGGGCTTCCAGGCCATTTTCGCGGCCATCCTGTGGATATTCCACACAGGTCGTCGCTGAATACCCTTTTAGCTTTTAATATGGAGCGAATTTAGCTCTTGTACATCGGGTTTTGGCTTGCTTTTGCTCACTTTTCAACTCAACTTGAAGGTTTGACAATATATGTATGATTTTTCCGATATAAACAGGCTAACGGGAAGCAATAATCGAGACCAACGTAGTCTTCTACCTTCGCATCCTATGCTGCTTCCCAGCAGGAACTTTCGGTGAGTTCCATCGCTGCACTGAAACGAGAATGCCATCAACAAGAATTGCCTTGCTGCCGAGAGAGGACTGAGCCTTTCCGTGTTTGGATAGTTCGCAAATCGATAGTGCCTTCAAGGCACCATCGTTGCGTTGGAGTTGACCCGGCACTGCCGCCGGCGTCACTGTGACGCTAAAACGTGCTCGAAAGTCGTACAGTATGTGCTGCATTGGTGCAGTGTACGTGTACATTAGAGTGGTTTAGGAGCAGGAACTTGTGTGAGTTGTAGACTAGCGCCAATCACACAACCCTAATCACACTGCCGCACACGTTGGTTTGCCAGCGAAGCATTTTGCAAAGCGAACGCGAGCTCTTATCCGTCCTTGGTGTATACTACATTTGCAAAGCACACAAGCCAGTCAAGATGCTCAAGGAGAGCTTAGTCCTCGCAGCGACCGCTCTGAACCTCGTCCTCGTCGAGGACGCCGCTGTGCTCTCCGCCAGATCTCCTATGCCACGACCAGTCCTCACACTGAAGGGCAACTTCAATTTCAACGCATTAAGCGACGGAGACTGTCGTTTTAATTTCCGATTCTGGAAGCGTGACGTAATTCGGCTGCACAAGGCGCTGCGGCTTGAGAAAGACTACAAGCTACCGAGCCGCCTTCGCGTTGGTGAAGTCGAGGGGCTCTGTGGGCTGCTACGCCGGCTCGCGTACCCTGGACGGTACAGGGATCTTGCTGTGATGTTCGGCAGGTCGCCCAGTGCGCTGTGCCTGATCGTTCGCTTCATGGTGGACCTAATCTACGCTAAGTGCAGCAAGCTTCTTGCACGCGGCAGTCCTATCGACAGGTGTATCGGCTTCATTGATAGCACGGTGCGTGGCATCGCCCGACCAGTGCGCAACCAACGGCAGTGCTATAATGGGCACAAAATGCACTCAAGTATACAGTATTCGGATGTTAAAGTACATAGATATACATTTGTATACGACTTGTAGAAAGCTTATCAGTCGTAGCTACATCACTTGAACGAACGTGTGACGCTCGTCTCTGGCAATCCTCACAAAAAAACCGGCGTCACACGTTCGTAGCTTTCTGCTAAACCACTCTATTAAGTTAATCATTGACTTAGTGGTCTGACCAAGCAAGCGGTCACTTTGCCATGAATTTGGCTAGGATGGTAACGTTAAGTGTACTCGGACTCAAGCACATTGAGCTCCACATGCACATGCAACTCATCGGTGGAGGGGGTCAGGACAACCCACACCCAGGCAACTGGGCGTACATGGTACATTTACAGCTCAACATCTGTTCAACTTTCGTCAGCTTGGAGAATCTGCATACATAATCTGCTGTGCTGTACAGCTGATTCTGTACGCAGCGACTTGTGAAGTGAACTTACACTGTAAGTGCACTGTAAGCTCACTTAGTCTTACAGTATTAATACTTGCTGGAGAACCTAGTTCCAAGAAACGACCGTTCAAGTACATTAGTAGAAAAAACAAAATCATACGTTCATTAGACCACTATAACGTCGAGTCATACTGTCTGACTAAACTATTTTCGCTCAACGGCGGCCTGTGTGGATTTTCACAATATGGGCCGCGAAAATGGCTGTAACGCGAAAATGTACACCGATTAATAGAAGCATGTCCGCGTGACATCCACATCCTCCATGCCGTTTTCGTTAGAAATTCCCTTACCCCCGTCCGACGTCTCGATCTCAAACTGCTTGAACACGAACTACTTCCAACTATATACGAGGTGAATCTCCCGGTAATTAGCCCCAAGATCCCAGTATATCCGGGGAATCGAGTCTCC